CCCACCCACAATTACCTCATAGGCGTAGTCAAAGAGCTCCAGTACTGTGAGGATGCTGGCCCCAATGAACAGGCCCATCTGGCCTCCAATGTCACCTGCAGGGGAGGGGGCACAGGGAGGTTAGTGGTGTCAGGACACCTTGGAAGCAGCAGAGCTTACTGGGACAGGGACAGTTAAGTCGTATTTGCAAAAAGATCCACAGCCTTTGCACAGAAGGAGCACAAAGCGATTCTGGTGGGGTTTATTTTCTTCTCCGTGCTTCTCTGCATTTTTTTAAAAACTTTTCTAAAGTGAACAGGTGTTATTCAGAAAATACAAAATACCCCAACATTCATTTTCCGGGTAAATTTTCAAAGGCTTATGAAAGAGTCCCCCCTTCATGCCCACAGGCCTGTCTCTACCACTTTGCCCTAAGAGAAGGTTCAGCCCCCTCCTCCCACTATATACCAAGACAACAGAGTTTGGGGAAAGGGCCCGGGGGGATGGCAGGCGAGGAAGGAACTTGCGGGACAGAGGTAGGCAGCCTGCTTTGGGTAGTAGGGTGTCACGCCATGCCCATGGCATGGGAAGGGGACAGTGCCATGAGCAGCTCACCCAGGAGCCCTGCAATTTCATAGGCCTTCTTCTGCTCAATAGTCTCATAGTTGAGGACTTCAAAGAAAATGTCCAGCACCAGGATGTTCTCCCTGCAAAGGGGTTGGGGGAGGAGACCTAGGTTCAAGTCACATCTCTGTCCCTTACTAGCTAGGTGACCTTAGCAAGTTATCCTCTTTGAATCTGTCTCCATGTCCATAAAATGAGATGTCGATGGGGGTACCTGCCTTTTAGGATTGTTGTAAGGATTAAGTGTGATGGCACCTATGAAAAGACACTCCGCACACTGGCAAATGTGGAGTGACCCCAGCTGTAGCAGTGCGGATGAAGATAGAGAATGAAGCAAGGAGGAAAGAGAGGTGCTTCCTTTGCTTGCTCCAGCTAGATCTGCCCTCCATGCCCACCCCAGACTCCTTGGTTGCCTTCTCCTTGTTATCTCAACCTCCTCCTGTCTGCTGGCCCCTCAAAGCCCCGTTATACCCTTTACAGTCCCAGCCCAAGGGCCCTGCCCTGCACAGTTAGAGCCCTTACCCTATGTACTGCTCAGACTTGTTGAACTTCTTGGCCAGGTACTTGGCTGACGCTTTGCTGGGGATCTTGACCATGGACAGCTCCTTGCCATAGCGGGTTAGGTTGCAGGGCATTTCACACACACAGTATTCCTGGTCCTTCTCCACCAGGAAGTCTGTGCCCGACCAGGTGAGAGGCACCAGTTGAGTGGGGCTCTTCGGCCAGCACCTTCCCAACATGAACATCCTGGCCCTGTCCAAAGGAAGCCTGGATCCCCTTCTTTTTACCTGACCTGTCCTTTGCCTCAGCCCTGTGCCTGCCCTGTGCCCACCCTGTGCTGATCCTCACCCAGCCTCCCCATGGATATTTCATAATCCTGTATCTCATTGCTTCAGGGCCCTTGGGGGTCAACCAGCTGAGGTGTTGACGAGAGAGGGTGAGGGCCCCTGCCGGGTGAGCCCGGTTCATTTTTCACAGGGGCCTCTAGAGATGCCATTCCCAGCCTTGCTGAGGTCAGACACAGGAGAGAGAGTTCAAGTGAAGCCTGATCCAGGAGTTATCTGAAGCTTCTGGGAACTTGGTCTGAAACCCCCATGCACGTGGCTCCTTCCTTCCCCCAGACTACCCCAGGACAGGGGTGCTCACCCAGAGCAGGATCCGCACACTCCTTGTACTGTTCTGGAGTGCAGTATGGGGCATCCCCTAACAGAGGAGAAAAGACAGTGGTGCAGGATGGAGATTAAAGGGGTCTTCTGATGATGGTGGTATTAAGGGCCTAGAAACTGGAAACTAGGAGAGGGTGGGAGGGCAGGACTAGCCAGCCCCCAGTCTGTCCTGAAGGTGACCCACCCCACAGTCCACACCCCTCTTGGATGCTTTCCACACTTTCTGACAGGTACAGTCAGGAATTGAGGTCAGAGGGACAAGAGCCATAGGAATATGGACAGGGCTAGAACTGTGGTGGGGAGAAGCCAATTAATCTTGCCTCCGTGTTGGCAGGTGGTTGATATGCATGGGGAGCTGGTGAGAGGCAATGCAGGCTGAGGGGCCCCAAGACTGTGTCTGGAGCTTTGGGGCCTGACCTGGCATGTGCACCATGCGACAGTTACAGTTCTCCACCAGGTAGCGTGTCTCACAGTCGATGCGGCAGGCAGTTATGCTGTAGGAGTCGAAGAAATCCGAGTCCATGGTAACAGCTTTGCAGGTGCCCCAGGGCGGGGGCAGGTAGATGAGCTGCTGGGAGAGCCGGGGAGCTGGGGGGTGTGGGGACTTCTCCCCGAGTCACCTTGATGGACTTGTCTGACAAGATGCAGAACTCAGGAGTCCTGCCCCCTCTCCCTCTGCAGACTCTGAGGGTCTCAGAGTTTACAGAGCATTCCTGTTCATTCATGCTTCTCACTAGTCAGACTGAAACCCAGACCCTAGCTCACCCGTCCCTCCTGTATTGATTGCCCACCACTCCATCTTGACCCCTCAACACCCCACCCTGGGACCAGCCTCCCGTGGTCCTCTCACCCGCTGCTCCTGGCAGGACACAAAGGTCTGGAACCCTGGGGCCACACCAAAGCCCAGCTGGTCGATGAAGGGAGGTTCATCCTGACTGTGGATCTGCACTTTGATGCCCGCTTCGAAGGACGTCTCATCTATGGGAATGAGGGGGGTATGTATCGGGAAGGCTTCTGACTCCCTAACCTCCTTCAGAGCTGGGGTCATGCCACCTCTCCTAGGAATAAGCACAGTGCACACTGGGACAGGGAGAGGGGTTAGTCTATGGGGCCCATCCCCAGGATCCTTTTGGGTTTGCTAACTGCATGCTGCCCTGATGAACCCTGCAACCTACATACTTTTCTTATCTGACTTCAGCTATGCATCTCGGCGTTTCATATTCTTTCCCAGACACTATCTATTTCTCCCTCTCCTTTTCTCTCTTCTCCTCATGTCTCTCAGTCCCAAGGCCCCCTGGGACCAGACTAACAGCAGACGGCCCAAGAAGAGAGGGAGTTATTTATAGAGCGAGTGGCGGCCACTGATGGAAAGGGATGGCTGGTTACCTTGGAGAGTAACTGAGCCACGAAGGGGGAGCCAGAGAACTGTGAGGGTGGCATTCAGGTAGAGTCGGAGATGGAGATGGCAAGATGCTAGGAAGAAGGGAGGAGAGCCCAAGTCCTGCCTCGGGTCCCACAGTGGAGCTCAGGAGTCCCCTGGTGGAGGCTGATGACTAGGGCCATGGGAAGGGGTCTCAGAGAGAAGTGACATACCAGTCTCTCCCCATACGGGCAGGTACTCGTCCTGCTGGATGTCCAGCATGATCTCCAGCCCATTGCCAGTCCCACCTTTCATGGTCTTCAGCCGTGGACGCCCATCTCGGCCCGAGTTGAATGTGTAGCACTTTCCATACCGTGTGAAGACCTGGTGAAGGCAGAGTGAAGAACCTGAGAGTCCTGGCAGCACCCCCTACCTACCAAGGGCTGTCCCCAGACCCCTCGGCTGCTCAGCAATGATTCCTTCTATGTAGCCCATTCTCCATTTGTCCTCCTTCTCACTCATTCGCTGCCCTTCTTTGCCCTGCTCTGTGCCCTGGAAAGCTGATCCTGATGGAGTGTGCTGTCCATGCCCCTTTGTCACTTGGACAGGCTCTGGGTTCGGGATGGCCACTGGGAGCTATCACTAAGGGATCAGAGGGCAGAAGGAGACAGAGATCCGGGTGTTCATCCCTCCCCACCCTTCTCCCCTCTGAAAATGTTCTGGCAGTGGTTTAGACCCTGTAACTACAGACCCTGCCAGGAGGGCTCCCCGCATAGCACCGCTGCCTCCCTGTACCCCTTTAGCTTGTATGTGACAACTTCCCACTATCACTAGGTGCCTCAGGCCCCTTCAGGCAGAGTTTCCTTAACTCTGCCCACAGCTCTGTAAATAGACCCTTTGTTCAAGTCTTTTCAATTAGACTATCCGAGTGGCAGTCTTTTTCCTGCTGGGACCCTGACATATATACACCTCCATCACCAGGATCCCGTCACTGCCATACTCCCGGTCCCTCCTTGAGACTCCCTCCTTGAGGCCCCCTCCTCAGGCCCAAGATCCTGGGGCCTTCTGAGATATGATTTCTCTTTTCCTGGATTTTGCCCCAGGCATCTGAAATCTTGCTCTCCCCGAGATCCTTCCCCCAAACCAAGCGAAGCTTTTTAGTTTTCTCTAGCAAGGAGCCCCTTATGTCCATCGTTGTCCCATCATCACCAGAACCTGAAAGCGGACCTAGTTGCCATCCCAAGGACCATGCTCACCCAACCACCAGCATCTCCTCTTCCAGGATTTGGTACCGAGCATTCAGGGCATGGTATGCTTGGAAATGTTTGTGCAGAACTATGAGGGCCTCAGAGGAGATCTGAGCCCTGGGGGCAGTCTCTCCAGCCCATCCCTCAGAGCAGCCCTTATCACAGCTCTGACCACACAGCCACGGAGAGAAGAGTGAACCAATTCCTTATGGCCCTCTCCCTGCTGCTTGCCTGAATGTTTCCAGGTTCCCACAAATGGGGTGAGTATGCTTTGACTACTGCTTGATGGTGACAGAGTCCACAAAGCAAGTCAGAAGGTCTACAGACACAGCCCAGGGAAAGAGAAAGACGGTGTTAGGCCAGACCAGAGCAGTGGGGGTATGTGGAGGTTCCTAAGAAATAGAATCCCTGTCCCCTTCCCCCTTCCTGAAACAGCCTCCTCCCCCATTCAGAAAAGAAAACATGTGCTCTCCTCTATTCTGTGGGTAAGGCCCAGAGATGAAGTAGAGACAGAACTCCAACAACTCCCAATCCCCCAGCCCCACAAGGAAGTTTTGTGGCACTCAGTCACAGGCTCCAGACGCACACCCACGCCTACCCTCCATCTGGAAGGTGAGGGACCCCAGGTGGCCCAGAGCACCAGCCCTGCCTGGGCTGAGGGCTGTGAGGTTGACCAGTGGACTGCTGCTGCCACCTGGTGGTTCTATGTGAGAAGTGTTCTACCCTCAGGTCCAGAGGCAGCTAAGTTGACCCCTTTGTTATCCCACGTTCCTGTATTTCCCGACCCGCCTGAGATCCAGTGGCCAAAACCTCGAGGTCCCTGTCTGCGGTTGGTCCACGACACACTGATGACAGCCACCTGCTCCTGCACTATGGACTAGGTGGGGGATGGCGGGACAGATGTGGGGGAAGGGAAGGCCAGGCATCTGGCACCTGGAGGGGGCAGGAGAGGAGTCAGGCCAGACAGAACTGGAAGCTGAAGTGGGGAGGGGAGGGGGTGCCATTTGGTGCCTCAGCAAGGACCCTAAACTCCAGAGTGGGAGGGCAAGCAGGAGGCTGACTCCCACTGAAGGCTTCCCTGGGCAAGAGGATCCCTAGTCACTCAGAGCTGGAGGGGAAGGGGAGGATTTAGAGGTCTGTTGTTCTCCCTCAGATACACAGACAGACAGACAGACACACACACACACACACACACACACATACACACTCGGTAGGAGGAACACTGAAAGACCACATGAGGATGCACTGACATCCCTGCTGTGGTCATTACTGAGAAGGGGTGTGGTGGGGTGGAGTTGGGGGCTGTCCCCACCCCTACACCTCCCTTCCACACTCTTCTTCTGTGCCTCCAGAGACCAGGTTATACCTGCCCCAGCTCCAGTCCAGGGGTGACAGTCAAAATTGTTAAGGCCAGGAATAGGTACCCACCATCAGACCAAAGGTTGACCCCAAAGACAGACTAAGGTCCTAGGCCCTGCTCGATCGCAGGGAGGTCTGGGAAAGGGCTGGAGATGCTGGAGAATATTCAGGGAGACACCAGGGGCCTCAGGGCAGCAGCTAATTACCAACTAGCACAGATGAATTTCAAGATTCTAACAGGAAGAGCAGGACGGCACAGACCCGAAAATAGCAGCCCGGTTCCAGACCCTGGGACTCCCGGGGCAAGCTCTGGCCAGGTCTCTCTGAGACAGGTCATGAAGTGTGGGTGGCCCAGGTGAGGCAGGGGAGGTGGTCACCAGCCCCAGCCCCAGGAGGCGACAGTCAGGGTGTGCCATGTCAGACACGTTTAGGGTGCTACGCCCGGCCCGGGCCCCCACTCACCACCGAGAAGTTGTGAGGGCCACAGGGCCCCCCGCAGTAGGAACAATAGAGCAGCATGTCCTCCAGCCGGTGGCAAGAGCGATTGTAGAAGCGGTGCAGGTTAAAGGGCTCCCCAGAGAAGGCCTCAGGCCCCGGTGGGGCCAGAGGCACCCCAGGGTCATCACTTTCATCCAGCCCCAGCATGGGGGCCAGGTAGAGCAAGTCGGGGTAGCTGAGCTGGGACAGCCGCACAGCATTAGTGTTGCAGAGGGTGACCGCCGGGAAGGCCAGCTCCGTGGTGGCCACCTCGTCTAGCAGAGTCACATGCGGGTAGCTGAGGTAATAGGCAACGCGGTCCCCTACCTGGCACAAGAAGGCACCCAGTGCCAGAACAAAGGCCACTGCCCACAGGGCCTGCCTCGGCCCTGGACCCCCCTCCACGAAGATGTGGCTGGTGCCATGCAGGGTGCAGCTGTTGGCAAAGGCCACCAAATCCATGGGCGAATCCCCCTCTCTAGCCTTCTTCCTCACTGCCTCCTTTTCCTTCTCTTCCTCCTCTTCTGATTCTGACTTGTCCCGCTGCCGCCGCTGGTGCGGACCCCAAACATCTCCCAAGGGCCCTGGGGCTTCCTCTCCAGAGGAGAATGACACAGAGCAGAAGATCTGGATGGGCATCTTCTCCAGGGGCTTCCTGGCACTGGGGACTGGCAGGTGAAGGGAGAGACAGATGTGATCTCAGGCAGGGTCCGGCAGAGCCAGCCACCCAGACCTTCTGCCAGGTCTCCTCCGCCTCGCCAGCCAGCTGTCCTTCTCTGCCAGGGCCTTCGTGGCAGTGTGGCTGAGATGGGGCCGAGACTGGGCGGGGCGTGGGGAGGAGGACCTGCCTGCTCTGCCACAGGGCGGGCCTCTGGGCTGATGAATAATGGATGGCGGTGGGAAAGGGAGGCTGATGGACGGGAGGGAGCCCCTTTCCCGTCACCGGCTCCAGCAGGACAGAGGGGGTTGAAGACAGTGGAAACCCTAGACAAGCCTAGGGGCTCCAGGTGAGATGGGACCTAGCAGATTCCTTTGCTTCCACAGCCCAGAGCCACAGTCCCTGCCCCTCCCCCATGACATTCAAGCTCCCTATCACCATCCCATCGGTTCCTCAGCATCTCCCTTGGTCTTCCTGTCCCAATTCTGGGTCCTCGCCCCCATTCTCACCTGGTGCAGCCATTTCCCTGAGATATCAGAGCCTCTGCACTCTCGGCTCTCTCAGACCTCTAATTCCTCCATGACTCCCCCTGATCCATAATCCCCCCAATTATTTCACTGACCATATACCCCCATCATCTCCCAATACACACATAAGACCCCAGTTCCCTTTCAGTCACTGCCCTGACCCCAATTTACCCTGCTACTTCCTGAACCCTTAATTCCCCTGTAATCATTGCCTTGACCTCCAATTTCCCTCCCGCCAGTCCCTGACCCCATTTATCCTCCCCTGCCTCCCCTGATTCTGGCTCAGCTTCAAGTCCTCACCCTCCCCTGTGCTGAGCAACACTTAGGTCACTTTCCCCTCCTCCACCTTTCCCTTCTGTGGCTTGGGGGGCAGCCCAGGTTCCATTAGCAGAGGTCTCTCACTGACCACAGACTCATTTATGGCCAGTTCCCGGCACCAGTGTGGGGGAGGACCCTGTCTCTTGCAGCTGAAAAGCTTCCTGGCAGACCACCACTCCCCTCCCAGCTTGCCCACCCCTCAACGTCCAGGAGAGGAGTTCGAGGAATTCTGTCTGGTAGGTGGAAGAAATTGAGATCAGAGAATACTGCTAGGTCAGGTGGAGAGTGTCAGGAACCAACTCGGGGTGTTCCCCAAACCCTCAGCCTCATACATACCCCTGGCTGCTCAGTCTCTGAGACTTGCCCCCAGTTTACCATTCTCTGCCCCCAGGCCCCTGGCCCCTCTGTGCGCTCTGATTACTCAGGGCCAATGATTGAGGAACTTGAGCCACAAGCCAAGTCTCTAGGGCCTAGAAGGTGACCTGAGGGGAGGAGTGGAAGGGAGGGAGAGAGGGGAAGCCTGTTAACCCTTCCTTTGCAGGACCAGAGGTAAGCAGTGGAGGTCAGATGAGTCTACTGGGCCTTGCCCTTCCTTAACCATCACACAGCCTCAGACCTCCTTCCCCCTCCTTTTCTCCCCTCCCTCCCTGCTCCCACACCTCTTCCCTTCTCTGTTTCCATGCAGAGACCCTGGAGTGTGTTGGGGATTGGAGGCAGGGTGCCAGATGCCAGCAGAACTGACTAATATAGGACCTTTGGCCTCAGCTTTGCTGCCAGGGACACAGAGGCCCCAGAAGA